GAGACAGAGTCTCACTTTATCGCCCTTGGTAGAGTGCTGTGGCATCACAGCTCACAGCAACCTCCAGCTCTTGGGCTTAGGCAATTCTCTTTCCTCAGCCTCCACAGTAGCTGGGACTACAGGCGCCCACACAACGCCCGGCAGCAGAGCAGATTTTCTGAGTGGATGGAAAGGGCTGTGGGTCGAGAGGAAGCTGACTGGGGCTCTCAACTTCTCTCTGCCTGCAGCTCACAGTGTGACTTGGAGCAAGTCACTTCACCTCTCTGACTCTCAGTGTCTTTATCTATCCATCAGGAGGGTTTAGGTTATGTAACTGCCAGCAGCCCTTTTGCTAAAGGTTGTACATTCTGAATTCTCAGATTGCCAGAGGCAGCGTTTTCAGAGGGTGCTATTCTGTCACCCAGAACAAGCCCCGGCCCCAGCCTCCCACAGCCCCTCTTCCCTCACCTCGGAGCCAGCGCAGAAGGAAATAGTCATCTGGATTCGGCAGAGTGGGCAGCACATCCTGGACATTCTCCCGAAACTGTAGAAAGAGGCAGCTAGGTGAGTGGGAGACCCTCCCTGACCACCCTGGTACCCAGGACTCTCCATGGGGGCCTTCACTGGACCCCTCTTTCACTCAGTTCAACTCTGCAGACACTGGCTGGACACCTGTGCTGCATGGGACTCTCCATCTTGCCAGGGAGTGCCAGGCAGCAGGGGAGGAGATGGGAAGGATGGAAGACACTGCCCCTGCCTTGCCACAAGCACTTCTACATGCCAGTCTGGTAGGCAGAAAGATGTGTCCCAGCTAACTGTGACAGTAGGTGCTCTGATACAGGCCGTAGCAAAAGTTGTCAGTTACCAAGCATCCCCTGTGTGCCCACCACTAATCTTGGCACTCCTTATTCAGACCCCTAGAGGTATTATTGTCCCCATTTTGCAGATGAAAGAAATAAAGCTCAAAGAGGCTAAGCAACATGTCCAAGGTCAAACAGCTAGTAATTAGCAAAGCTGGGATGCAAAGTCAGGTCTGTCTCAGTCCAGAGTACATGTTCTTTCTACCAAGCTCTTCTGCCCTCTTCATTATGAAATGATGAGTAGGCTTGGCACTTGTAGCTCAAGTGGTTAAGGCGCCAGTCACATACACCAAGGCTGGAGGGTTTAAATCCAGCCCAGGCCTGCCAAACAACAGTGACAACTACAAGCAAAAAATAGCCGGGTGTTGTGGCGGGCACCTGTAGTCCCAGCTACTTGGGAGGCTGAGGCAAGGGAATCACTTAAGCCCAGGAGTTGGAGGTTGCTGTGAGCTGTGATGTCACGGCACTATACCCAGGGTGAGCTTGAGGCTCTGCCTCAAAAAAGAAAGAAATGATGAGTAGTGTGCTGGGGCAGCAGAGGGAAGGAAGAGAATATTCTCATATGCTTTCATATGAAAAATAACTATGTTTAAGGACTTCAAAGACAGCAGGGGAAGGGAGGTGGGAACCCAGCAGGAGGCCATCAAGGGGAGAGTACAGGTAGTGCCAAATAAAGGAGGTGGGCAGTGACCTCAAGGGACAGCCACACCCATCTCCAACCTCTCACTAAGCTATAGGTGAGCAGGCCCCCATGTGCCCTCCCCAAGCTTTCTGTTCCCAGCCACTCACCTTTCCCTGGTCACTGACCTACAGTTCAGCTCCAGAGGAGACCAATGAGGACTGGCCACCTCTGCCCCTTGCCTAGGTCAGCCAAAGACTCAGACTATCCTGCTCTCAAAAGCAGCTCTCAGTGCCCTGGGAAAACTGCCCACCCAAACTGTAGGCAGGAAGCCACCCCTTACACAGGACCTTTCCCAGCCCCTGGTCTCCAGTTTAATCACCACCTAATCCCTTCTCTGCCTGTCTTCCTCAGTAAAATCCGAAGCCTCCCTGTCCAGCCTTCCTGACATGGGGGAGGCCCAGCCTGGGGAAAAAAATCTTCATGAAACTGGTGCTTTCCCAATGCTGTCATGGCAGAAGACATCTGCCCCACCCCCTTACCCAGCAATGGGCAGCTGTGGAGCCTCCAAACCTTGGGACTGGACCCAATCGGCTGGCCAGGAAAACAGGTGACCTCCCCTCTCCCCAAGGGCGATAGAGAAGAGGAGATTCAGTTGGGGGAGAGGAGAATCCAGTCCTCAAACTCTCGCCCTCTTCCTCTTCCCAGGTGCCAAGGCAAAGGCAGGCTCACCTCCTTGCCTTCAGAGGAGAATCAACCTAAGTCCCGAGCAAGGCACAGGCCTATGTTGCAAAATAGTGCTGGCCGTGGCTCAAACTAACCCCAGCCCGGTGAGTCACAGGGGGAACCCAGAATTCACACGTGGAAGTTTTTCCTTCAACATCATCTGGTCCAACCTCCTCATTTCATTTCATTTCATCAAGAAGCAAACAGAGGATTGGGTTTTGCCCAAGGAGGCACAGCGATGCGGTGGCAGAGCAGGGGCAAGTCCCTTAAGGAGCTGTCCAGGGCCCTTTACATGGCGCCACCGCCCCCGCAAGGGGAAAACCTCCCGGAAATGGGAAGAAACTTGGGGCCCTGACTCTGCCCCAGGGCCTGGCTACCAGTTCCAAGGATGAATGTTGCCTTTGTGCCCTCAGTGGCCTCCAAGGGCTTCCAAGCAACACTTCTTCCCAGGTGACACCTCCACGGCTGCTCAGGGCTGGCGCGGAGACGGCCAAATTTCTCAGGGCCCCCTAGGTGGGCAGAGGGATAGGCTGTCGGGAGCGCGGGCCAGCAGGAGCGGCTAAGGCTGCTTCCTCCATCGCTTGCCGGGAGACTGACCCTCCATTCCTCGCCCCCTACTCAGACTCTCGGCGTTTCGCAGCCGCGGGAGGGCGGGGACCACAGCCCGAGACCGGAGCCTGAGCCAGGGCGAGGGCTCACCTTGTCCAGTGCCTCCTTCTGTTTGGGGCTCAGATCGCCGACTCTGCCGCTCATCTCGGCTCAGTCCCGGCGCTGGCTGTCGCGGTAGCTGATGGAGCACAGACTGGTTCTCGCTGCTGCCGGAGTGAAGTCCCAGCCTTTGCCCTGGCTGCGCGGCTGGCGGCCAAGCCCCGCCTCTTAAAGGATCCAGAAAGGCGGGGCACCCAGAGATGCGCTGGGACGGGTGGCTGGTACCCGCGCCCCTCCGCGCTCCTCAAGTCAGAGGACTGAGGCCAATGGGCATCAGAAGAGCAAGAGTCTCGGTTTAGTCCTACGTTTACCCTTAGCTCACAGTGTGACCTTAGGAAAGACACTGGAGCTCTCTGGGCCTCTGAACAACAAGGGATTGGAAGATGCTATCTAATGAGCTCCCTTACTAAAGATCAGGCTCCAGTGCTATAAAACCTGTCCCCTTACTCCTGGCAAGATGGCAAGACGGCAGAGAGCTGGCCTTGGGCCACTATGCGGGGCTTGTCCCCTAGGCCTAACTTGGCCCTGCTTCCCGGAGCCGTGGTATTGACCGTTCTTCTCAGAGGCCTTTGCCCTCCACCTGTCCTGCTATTGGTTTATGACCATTGCTGCCAGCCCCAGCTTGGGGCCTTTTTCCGTTGACAGCTTTTCCCCTTCCCCTGTGGGGCAGGCAGATGAGAACAGCACACAACACTAAGGGGACAAGGCAGCATGGACCCTGTCTGCTCTTGGGGATCCAGCCTTCTGTTCTGAACTCAGCCGCGGTGGTGAGCGCTTCCTCTCTGGAAGACCAAAGATTCGGATGTGGATCCCAAATCCTCCACTTCTGTGAAACTTCAGGGTGCAACTTCACTTCTCTGAACCCCAGGATCTTCTTTTATTAAATGGGGATGATGATCTACATTCCAAGTCCGCAGGACGCTAAAGGGAACTAATGTCCACCATTCACTTAGTGTGGTTCCTAGCACAGCGTCGGCTGCTTGTGACCACTTCCTGGTTTGCCCTGCACAACATTCCTTTGCCACCTGCCCGGCCAGGCTTCAGCCTCTGGATGGCGATGGAGGTGGCCTCCCAGGGGCCAGAGCTGTGGGTTCCCAGATACTAAGCCAAGTCTGACTTGTGGAATGGACACTGTGACTATCTAACTATATCCCAATCACTGCCCTTTCCCATACAATGAAACCATTTCCTCCCTTTCCAGCTCAACAGCTTTCCCCTTCTGCCTGGGTCCCACCACACTTACCACCAGGGCAGGAGCACCTGGTCACATGCCTTTGGCCAGTCTTTCCTTCTACTGTCTGCCAGGCCATGGGCACTGTTCTGAGACCCAGAAATGAATCAGACACCACCCTGCCCTCCCAAAGATAAGAAACAGCCACTATCAACTAGAATCCAAGCGCAAAATAAATGCCCCAAGGAGAGGCAGCAAGAGTCAGCAAAGGGGAGGATTTGCTCTGGGTTGGAAGAACCCTAGAACACTTTATGGATGGAGTGGAATTTGAGCTGGACCTTAAAATGTGGGGACACAGAAGGACGAATCATTGGTTCTGTGGCAGCACAATGGTGCTCACAAAGTTTTGATGGATTGTGGGAAGTGTGGCTCCAACCAAAGAGGTGGAGAGAGAAGGAACAAGCTGAGAGGACCTTCAGAACCTTGCTGTGGTCCTGCACGGTAGCATCTGCCCTGCTAGACAATGAGGTCCTAGGGCGCGGGGACCTGTTTTACCCACCTCTAAATCTTCACCACCTCCCGCCACCCTGCCCCCCAGCACAGCATCCTGCACACAGGGATTGTTAATAAATGTGTGCTGGGTGGTGCCTGTGGCTCAAAGGAGTAGGGCGCCAGCCCCATATGCCAGAGGTGGCAGGTTCAAACCCAGCACCAGCCAAAAAAAACCAGGAAAAAGAAAAAGTGTGCTGAATGAATAAATTTAAGAAATGCCCGGCTCGGCGCCTGTGGCTCAAGCGGCTAAGGCGCCAGCCACATACACCTAAGGTGGCGGGTTCGAATCCCCAGCCCGGGCCCGCCAAACAACAATGACGGCTGCAACCAAAAAAAAAAATGGCCAGGCATTGTGGCAGGCACCTGTAGTCCCAGCTGCTTGGGAGGCTGAGGCAGGAGACTCGCTTGAGCCCAGGAGTTGCAGGTTGCTGTGAGCGTGATGCCATGGCACTCTACCCAGGGGGATAGCTTGAGGCTCCGTCTCAAAAAAAAAAAAAAAAAAGAAATGCCCCAATAAAAGCACAGAGCCAGGTGCTGGGGGAGCCCGGGGAGGGAGAGGTAAACATAAGACTGTTTAGGAATCATGCAGCTCACCTCATTTAACAGCTGTGGAAACTCAGATCCAGAGAGGCCATGGCTTACTTGAAGTCATTGGTGACAATGACAATTGTGGAATGCCCACCACCTGGCACCTGAAAACACCTCCAAATGCTGTTTCAGGAACCATCTCCTTCCAGTTTGTAATTAATGCAAAAGTAGGCCCAGGGATCTGTGGGTGTCCTTTCTCCCAGAGCCATGCCCTAGCTGTCTCAGCGCTCACATCTCCAGGAAAGTAGAATGCAGAATGGCACAGTGTCCCTCCTCACCTAGAGAGGGTAGAAGGCCAAGGCAGGTGCACCAAGCCTGTTAATGACATTTGGAAGGACTCTGCCTCTGGCATGTCCCTCACTGTAGAGGTCTGCTGCAGGGTACAGAGTGAGGGTTGAGGCCCCTGACCTCACCTCTGCAAACAGTTTTCAGGCAGTCCCAGCAGTCCTGCCCTAGATAAAGAAGCATTGGCTTCTGGCTTGGGGCAGGGCAGGGCCACAGTCCTTACTGAACAGTTGCCTAGGATCTTCATTTAAGATCTTTGACAGGGTAGAGCCTACTCAAAGGAAAGTAGAACAACCCCTTATATTGGTTCAGCACTTTACAGTTTACAAGGCACTTTCAGCTCTAGGTTGTCATTTGTGTGTTGGACAATCCTCTAAGATAGGCAGGTCAGGTGGTTTACTGAGGAACTGGAGGGAGAGGGGTGGTCTTGTGAGCAGGTGTGGAGTTGGGACTTGAACCCAAGAACTGGCTTCTAGGCCAAATGTCCCCAGGTGCCCTCAAGCATAGGAACACATTCACCTAGCAGGAAATAGCCTCCCTTCCAGGTTCAGTGGCTGCCCACTCCTCCTTTCTCCACTGATACGTACCTATCTCCTGGACACTGTGAAACAGCTTGTTAATCTGATAATATGAATCCTAAATAAATCATCTAGTAAACTCCTCCAAGCTGGTTCCTAAGATAAAGTCCTTGCTTCCCATCCCACCTTTTCTCTATCCTCCAATCCTTGTTCTACAGTTTTCCCTCTCTGTGAGACACGTTGCACTTCTGGTTAAGAACCTTCAGTGGCTCCCCAGTTCCCTCAGGAATCAGCCCAATCCCACTGACCTGCATTCAAGACTTACCCCACCTCATCCCAGCATCCCTTGTGGCCTCGATGGCCACTCACACCCTCCACACACTTTCATTTCTGTCAAAGAACCTGTCTGCTGGCCCTCAGACACACCTCTGCCCTCCTGCCTCTGTTAGACTTGCTGTGTCCTCCTGTCAGGTCCTCCCTGGCCCTCAAGGCCCTGATCAAATGCTGTTTCAGGAACCTCCCCAATCCACCAAAGCAATGTGACCTCTGCTAACCAGAAGCTCCTCTCTCCTGACCCTGACATGGACTACTTTGTATTGTAGTGGTCACTGTCAGAGAACAGCCTGGCCCAACAGGAAGGACTTAGCCTCCCAGGCCAGGTCAGCCAGGCTGGAGGGGAGAACGTTCAACCTTCTGTGACAAGTGTGCCATTCCATGTCTACCTTGCCGGAATGTACCGGCAGAAACATGGAGGGCGAACGACTTAAAGAAGGTTGGTGGAGTGCAGCAATCTAGGAGGAACATGGGGCTAGCAGTCTTAGTCTTGGGAGTTACAACTCTGCCCTCTGGATTCTTCTAGGAGGCAGTCTGGGAACATGCAGGAGCCCTGGACTGGGAGTCCACAGCCCAAACTGTATATTCTCTGTGTTCTTGAGTTAATGTGCTGCAGTGGCTATTCAGCCAGGAGGACATATAGGACTCTCCTCAGGACTGCTTGCCCGTGCCCTCTGGGCCTTGGCTGCCTCCTCACTAAAATCAGGACATGGCCTTGAGATCAGAAGCCCCCTTGGTGCCCTCCCCTTGGAATCTGTGGTCCCAATGGCAGGGAGCTGGTACAGAGATCAGCACCATAATTTGAAAGTCAGAAAGAACAGTCTTTTAAACCCTTTAAACCCTTCAACAAATATTTGTGGAACACTCTACTTCCACAGAGCCAGGGCAACAGGAACTCTCTGGAAAGCCCTTGTGCTTTCAGGCAGCTGTGCAGAAAGGCCCTGGCTCCAGCCTCCTCCCCTCCTCCCAGCCTGCCATGTGGGGACTGCCACTGCCTCAAGTCACCTGCCTTCTCCAGGAGACTGTGATCCAATGGGAGAAAAATAATCCTGCCACTGTGAGAATTCCAATGGCTGGAAAAATAACAGCAGAAATAATGGTTAGAAAAGTGGGTGCGCAGATGTGAGGGATTATTGTTACTACTATTACATGTAGTTTCTGAGTGTACAACACAAAGGGAGAACCCACTGGGCTCCTCCCTAGAAGCCCCACTTCCTCCTCACTTCCGCAGTCCACCCCGGCTTTGTGAAGAAACAAATCCTCTCCCTGCCCCACTTCCCACACCTCCTGATTTAAGTCCCTTACCTTTCTGGTATCATTGTCTAATCCCTAAGCCCTTTCTCACCAGTCTCCAGTTATCTCAGACAGTCAAATCCCTTTAGAATGAGGTGGCCCAGTTAGCTGTGAACCAAGAGGCTGGGGGCAGGGAGCTGGGACCTCAGGACACCCCCCAGAGGGGTGAGTAGGGGTGGAAGGGAGGGTTGCCATTTCTACCTCCACTCCTGCAGCTAAGACAGAGTCCAGATTCTAAAGCCAAGCTTGTCAGGGGTGGGCCAGCTGGCTCTGGAGCCAGACTACCTAGATTTAGGTCCTGGTCCTATCACTCAGCCAAGTTAGTTGGCCTCTGTGCCTCAGTTCCCATCCATAAAATGGCAATGATAATCTTACTACTGTATACAGTTGTGATGAGATTAAATGAACTAATTCATGAAAAGGACCCTGAACGGTGCCTGGAACACTGCGA